GTCCAGATAATGCTGCATTTGTCATTAACACACACAGCAGGAGGAGGGGGTGGGATGCTGCTCCCCTCGGGAATTTGGGGAGGGGGGAGCTGCACACCTTGCACATTCCTGCAGAGGGAATGGGTGAGCAGACAGACAGATCAAGCTCAGGCACTGAGGGTTCAGCCAAATAAGGAGAGGGAATATTGTTTTCCTTTTGCTGAGTGAATTATTTGCAAGAAATAGAAGTCAGAGAAAGGGAAACATCTGCTACGGCTTCGTTAGCGGAGTGTCAAGTCGACTTTTCCTTCATTATTAGCCCTTCCTGAAGCTATCAGCCTATGCCTCCCACCTCTCTCCTCTTGGGAAAGCCTATTAGCAGCTTGTGATGGCTGTTTTATTGACAGCATAAGCTGTTTGCTTAGCAAAAGGAAACTTAAAAGAGTAATAAGCTGCTATCTGCCTTGATTTCAGTCTGCAGCCTTCATCCCGGGCTGTGCTAGCAGGGAGACAGGCTGGGAGGGAAAGGTGAATTCTTGTAACCAGAGCAGACAGGGCAGCATCCTGATCACTCCTGGGAGCCAGGATGAGCCTGAGGTTTGCAGATACCAGAGAGAAGGAAATGCAGACAGAGGGGACCCCTCAGAGCTGATCCCAGCCCTGGTTCAGACCCTTCACTCCCGGAGTCCTCCTCTCCTTCCCAGGACTCTGCCCCTTTCTGCACAGGGGGAAGGAGATCTCTGTGCCCCAGGCACTGGAGGGGTGACACAGCAGGGACAGGTCCATCCCCAGGGGTTCCAGTCCCTGCACCATGGGGTGACACGGGGACACAGTTCCCTGTGCCTGAGGGAGGGAGGGATGGTTGGAAGCACAGGACCCAGTGGCACCAGCTGATGCTTCTGTGACACAAATCACAGGGACCTGCTGCAGGTTTGCATCACTGGGAGGGGAGCTGAGATCGAGTGTGAGAATCAAACAGCTCAGAATTGCACCCTGGCACTCACCTTTCACTGCTGAGAAAAAAAAAAGAGAGATCAGAGACTGGAGGGGCAAAACACTCACGGTGTGTGACTACAGAGCTGCCTGGCCTGGGATGGAGCACGGGTCCAGGACATTTAACAGCAGAAAGCACTACAAAACACCCCCAGGAGACCCATCCTGCTGCAGCCCGGTGCATTAGGTCTGAAAGATCCATCCCTTCACCACTTCTGACTCTCCAGGAACAACGAACAGCACTCATTTGTTAATGCGAATTATTTACAGTGCTTAGTTCCAGCCTCCCCTCCTCGGGGGAGAGAGCCCACGAAATGGCTGAGAGATGTTATCTGGCTTTAAAGGGATGAACTGTGAGAGGAGAACTCAATTTCTTTTCCCCAGTGCAGAGCCAGATCGGCGTAAGGTGGTTCAAGGCTTGGGAAATATTAAATCAAGCACACGGTCTGGACACAGAGAAAAAGGGTTTGCATTGATGGAACACCAGTAAACTGTTAAAAAAAATAAAATAAAGCTTTCTACGTTTGTGCACGAAGTTGTGTCACACCAGGAGCTCTGGCTGGGATGTGCAGGAAGGAGCAGGGCTCCCACATTCCCTCCCAGCCCTGGGCAGCCCACCAGGCACAAAGGCATTGGGGCCAAGTCAATTTGAGGGCATAAAATTATCCCAGAAAGGAACTTTTCCACTTACCTCCTTCTCCCCACAGATATTGCTGATAATAGAGCTTGAGGCTGGGCTTGAGGAAGGTCCCAGGACTCCAACCACTCCTTTGGGGAGAATCTGGCACACTGTGGGCACCAGAGAGAGGGAACAGGCATTAGACTTCATCCTCAACTGCTTACACTACCTGCTGCACTAAGAACATCACATTCCATCACATTCCTTCACACAACACACTCCCTGCCATTTACACCCCCAAAATCCCTCTGTTCCCTCTGCAGCACTGTCACCCTGCCTGTGACACTCTCCCTCGCTCCCCAGCCTTTTAAAACCCCACCCAAACCCTCCCCAAAGCCCCAGTATCCTTATCTCTGGGGTCTCTCTCTTTAAACACCCCTTTTTGTCCCCAGGATAAAACGGGAACTGAAGTATATGGAAGATGCCCAACACAGCAGTGACCCGGCTTCAAAGCATCATCCAGCAGCAAACAAACTTGTATGAATTGCTCCCCTCATCCTCTGCAGAGCTCAGTGGTAATAATAAGGGTTGCATTACTGTTTTTTGTTTGTTCTGGGTTGTTTTTTTTCCTATTTGTAGTTAATCTTCTTGCTCCTGTCCACCAAGGTTAGCAGAGCAATAAAAAAAACCCCAAACCCTGACAAACCCAAGAAGTTAAATCTCTTCCCCTCAAGCTTCCCCGGGTTAAAATGCAACCTTTTGTCCTCTCAATTCACAGCACAAATTTAGCTGAATTGCACTCCAAGGAGGAGCCCAGCTGGTGTCACCTCCCTGCTGCCATCCCCATCCACCAGGAATGTTCCTCCAGAGCAGCTGGTGCAGGCAAAGCCTGAACAGAAGGCGAGAGCCCCTTATGCCTGAATTCCTGGGCTCTCAGAAGCTCATGTGAACATGTGCTGGCCACGGCTCCTTCTGCAATGCCAGACCTGCCTCAGCATCCTCACACGCTCAGCTCCTTCCTCCCCACACACACAGAGCCACTGGAGCCTTCCTGAAGGAATAGGATGTGGAAGAGGGGAAAGGAGGCACCAAAACTACCCATCAGTTCTGGCTCACAACACTTTCATGTGGAAAAATTAAACCACAACAGCACAAAGCTGGGATTTTAAAGGTAAGTGCTTCTTCAGCCTCCTCACCACAGGTCCCTGGTTTACACCTCAGACAAGCTTTTGGGATGGTTGCAAAGAGTTATCCAGACTCAGTGGCTGGAAAAGGAGCTGGAAAAATTCAAATCTGAACATGTTTTGGTTTTTTTCTTTTTGTAGCAAAGGGAATTCATCATCAAAATGGCTGAAACATAGATCAGAGCAGGTTTTTTATCAACTTGAAGTCTTTAAATCAAGGCTGGATGTGGAATGAGAGCCTACACAGTGCTTGGGGTGGTTTTAGAGCAGTGAGCTATGGGGTGGAGCACAGAGTTTGGAAAGTGAACTTCTACAGCCTGATTTCAGCTACCCAAGGTTGCCCAGAGAAGCTGTGGCTGCCCCATCCCTTGAAGTGTCCAAGGCCAGGTTGGATGGAGCCCTGAACAACCTGGGACAGTGGAAGGTGTCCCTGCCCATGGCAGGGGGTGGAACAAGGTGAGCTTTGAGGTTCTTTCCAATCCAAACCATTCTGGGAGTCTGTGATCTCTGGCCTTAAACTCCATAAGTCTCCACAGCCTCATGACTGGAATATGAGGCCAAAATCTGATTTAGTTTTTCACTTTGGGGAATTGGTTTTACCTCTCTTTTGAAGGCAGAGAGCTCCATCCCCTCCCCAGCCCCTGTCCACACTGATTGCTCTGACTTCTTACAGCAAGTGCTGATGAAAAGCAAACACCTCCTCTTGGGTTTTCCTTCCTTCTGTGCTCTCTCCCCCTCCAACAGCTCAATCTCCTCCAGAGCCAGTGATATTTTTCTGTGGCATCTTCAAAAGGAATCCAGTGCTTGCTTTTCCTCTGTGCTTAAAAATTTACAGGCACTTAGACCTCTTCAGAAGACGCTTTTAAATAAGAGCACCAGCAATTTGAAAACCCTTCCTGCTGCCTCAGCAGCCCCTCTCAGCTCCAGCAAACCCTTCAGCTGGAGGAGGAAGGAGCTGCTCCAAGTCCCCTCCTTTATCCACAGGTCGTAAAGGCAAAATTCCCAGGGAAAATTCTGTTGTGCACAGGGAGGGGAAAAGTTTGGTGAGCGCTTTCCTTCCCATCCCCGGCAGGGAGAACAAAAAGTGGGTTAAGTAGCCATAGCAACAGAGTTGCAACAACTGCCAGAAGAAAAAGACCTGGTTTGTCACTACCAGGGGGAAACATCCACTAAAATTAAGGAAAATGAATGGAAACAAAGTGGAGGTGCCCGAGGCAAAGGTTTTGACCGTGTTTGGAAAGCTTCCTGTGGAATCTAAACTCATTTCCTACTTCAGAACATTTCCTGATGCTGTTTGTCCCCATGGGCACTGCAGGTTCAGAAAAGGGTTGCAGAAATGTAGGTCCTGTAAAAAAAACACCTCATCCCTGCTAATCACAGAGACTGTAACCACAGAGAGTGGCATATTATGGGATATTGCCCCTCCAATCCCTTCATCCTCCCCCACCTGGCTGCCACGTAAGGTATGTGCTGGGTAGGACCCATTTTTGATTGCTGCAGACTTCTGTTTGTGCCCAGTTCTTATGCTGTCCAGAATTCAGGATCTCAAGAAACACTGGACATTGGAAAGGCACCACATTAAGAACCTCTTTAGTCCTGGGATGGGATGTGGGATCATCCCTGCTCAGGAGTGTGCTCAATGTGCAGTGAACAGTGACCCTCCTTTGGTAGCAGCAGGGCTGTGCTGCCACAAAAGCAAGAGAGGGCTGTGTTTAGTCATTTCCATGGGTGTATTTGGGAATTAAGAACAGATCTGGACACTCAGGAAACAACAAGGTGTTTCTTAAAGGAAGGTGGAAACGCATGCTTATTTTTTGAACATGGAAAAGCAAGACAAGAAGCAAGTAACTCTGACATTATATATGTCTGTGCAGCCCCTCAGACATGGTCAGAGAGTGCCTTTTCCCTCCTGGGATCCCAAACACTTCCCTGTTCAAAGCAGGGTTGAAAGCTCTCCAGGGAGAGCATCCACCCAGGGGGCAGGACACAGCATCCCCTGCCCTGCACAAGGACACCTGATCCCAGGGTTTCAAACAGCATGCAAGGAACATTCCTGGCTCTAATTGAGCATAAATGAGCAGGGAAGGTTGGCAATTACCTCAGCATTTCCATGATTGCAAAACATGCCAGAGGATCTGGAGTGGCAGGGACTGGTCAGGATGGGAATAAATAAATAAGTGCATAAATAAATAAATAGCTGGTGCTCCAGAGGGTTCATCCTGCACTCCCAGACTGCTCCCTGCAGCATCCTTTGTGCTTCCTAAAAGGAACCCACAACCAGGGGAGCCCAGAGGGAAGCTGTGGCTGCCCATGGAAGTGTTCAAGGCCAGGCTGGAACAACCTGGTCTAGTGGAAGGTGTCCCTGCCCATGGCAGGGGGTGGAACTGGAAGATCTTCAAGGTCCCTTTCCAGCCCAAACCATTCTGTGATTCCATGACAACCAAAGCAGGCTTAAAACATGAAATCCCACAAAAATGGTGGGACAGGCAATATAATAGCACATTTGAGCCATTGCCACTGAAAGGACATATCAGGCACTTTGAAATCTTGGTGTGAATAAATAAAAATTTAAAATCCTCCAGCCGCTGACCCGCCCCAGGATGTTTGGATTCACAACAAAGAGATGCTTAAAAGGCTGACGAGGCCATAGGGGACAGGGGGACAAGTAGAAGATCTGTCCCTCCCTGGACATCAAAAGGAATGAGGTGGTTTAGATAAAGACACGATTAAACAAGTCATTTTGGATACCCATGAAAGGAGCTGAAACATCAAACACAAAGAGAGAACAGGTTTTCCTTGTAACAGCAAAAAAAAAAAAAAGCTCCATAAAAGGTCCATAACCTTTCAGTGCAAACTCCTTGCAAATACAGATGTTTCGCACAGGAGCAGTCAATGTTTGCCTTCATTCATATCTAAAGCTGAAATAGAAACCAGGCATGAATGTGATTAACTGACTCATATTTCACCTGCTGCAGCAATTGTGATTTTTGGGGCCCTCTATCATGAGCCAGTCAGAAGGAAAGAGGAAAGAAAAGCAGCTCAACACTAAAATAAAACCTAACTCCCCAAAATTCTTCCTTCTCTTGAAGCACTAATAGTTCATGGATTAACACTGACGGGGTGTAATTCCTAAATCAGTCAGCTAAACGTGGAGCTGTGATATTTAACAGTGACTCAAAGGGTGTGAAATGTGAGAACAGTATTAAACAGCTGTATAACAGCTTTGCAGTCATAGGTTAAAGCATCTAAACAGTTTTTATTAATATTATGTGTCATAACAAACATCAGCGCTGTATTAAAGCATCTGAAAGGCATGAAAGCCCTTGAAATTTAAGTCAGAGGATCTGATTCTCCTCCACCACCAGTGTAAATCAAGAATAACTTCGGTGACATTAATAGCAGAGCCATGCAGAATCCAGATTTTTTCCTTTTCAAAGAAATGCTCGCAGACATTTTTCCCTCTGAAGAAAAGGCAAATAACACACTGCAAAACTCACCAAAACCACGTCAAGTTTGCTCCAATTCCTACTTTTTACATCCTGTAAACCCAAATAAAGAAAACAAAGAAAATCACCCAAAAAGGTGCAAACTGGAAATGGGAGGTGCCTCTTCCTCACTCACCCTATTTCCACATTCTCCCTAAACACATTTGCTGCAATCAACAATTTCTTGTAGAACATTTCATTCTGAGCTTGAAAAATCTCCCAACAGAGATTAATGAGCAGTGTTATGGGTGTACAAGTGAGACAGAAATCCTGCTCCCCATCCCTGGGGATCACTTGGCAGCCAAGCCCCGAGTTAAACAACAGGAACGCTGCTCCATGCAGGAGATTGATGAGGAAGGAACAGGAATGGAACTCAAAATGCCACTGGGTCCTTCAAAGGGTCCTTTAAGACCCTTTTTTCCTGGGTCCTTCCTGCACAGAAAGCTCGGGCAAACAAGGAATTTTGTCATTTCCCAGGAGGCTGCTGAGAGATCTGGGATACTTCCAGGGGAAAACTGGGAATGTACTGGGAAGGACGTGGAGCTGCTGGAGCAAGTTCAGAGGAGGCACTGAGTTGATCAGAGGGATGGAGCAGCTCTGCTGGGAGAAAAGGTTGGGAGAGTTGGGAATGTTCAGCCTGGAGAAGAGAAGCTTTGGGGTGACCTGATTGTGGCCCTCCAGGACCTGAAGGAGCTACAAGAAAGATGGAGAGAGACTATTTAAAAGGGCCTGGAGGGACAGGACAAGGGGGAATGGCTTTGCACTGACAGAGAGTGTAGGTTTAGGTGGGATATTGGGAAGGAATCCTTCCCTGGGAGGGTGGGGAGGCCCTGGCACAGGTTTCCCAGATGAGCTGTGGCTGCCCCATCCCTGGAAGTGTCCAAGGCCAGGTTGGATGGGGCTCAGAGCAACCTGGGCTAGTGGAAGGTGTCCCTGCCCATGGCAGGGGGGTTGGAACTCGATAATCTTTAAGGTCCTTCCAACCCAACCCACTCTGTGATTCTATGATTCCATGAAATCCAGGCTGTCCCATCCCTTCTGCACAGGGAGACTGGATGTGCCCCAAAGCTGTGCCAAATGAGGGCAAAGCAGGATGTGCAACAATCCTGGGCAGATGGGAAAGACCAAGAACACAGAAGAGAGATGAGGGATCCAAAACAGTGGAGAATTGGTGCTTTAAACAGTCCCTGTGCTGCTGCCTGTGATGATTTTAATCTGTGCTGCCTCACGGGTGACAGGCTCTATAAATAGACAGCCAGGTACTTGCTGAGACGCACTTTATTAACTGAACTCTTCTATAAATAATGCAAACACTAATTCAGGAAATGAAGGATGTGCTGATCTCGCAGACCCACGGAGCCCGTTCTCCCAGCTACCCAGAGTCACTGCTGAGCAGCTCTGGGTACCACAGGGCTGCTCAGTGCTCTGCAGAACACACACCAAAACTGTGTGAGAAACCAGCCTGCCCCGGGCCACGACACACCACCACACTTTTTGGGGGTACCCTGCAGATTGCACAGTCCTGGAACACAGGACTGTTGGGAAACGAGTCTAAAATCCCTATTATTAAAAATGATTTCTCCAGCTTTTTCAAGCCAACTGGTAATAAAAAGTTATAGTCCTCCCTTAAACTCTAAAGGTCAGCTTAAAAATGATTCTGAAGGGATGCTATCCTATTCCAAAGGATATTTACTCTTACAGGAAGAAGCTATTATAGATCTTTTGGGCTCTTTTCACTCAGGCTCCCAAAAGGTCTGTGGGACACTGACCATCAATCTCCTTGTTATTCATCAGCACGGAGCTGACACATTGGGCATCCAGAGGAACAACTCTAATAGAGAACTGTTTCATTAAGGGACTTGGAAGTGACGTGGGAAATCTCCTGCTCTTTCAAAATTAGCTCTTTTTCATCCACGTGCTTTCAAACATCACTTGAAAACTTTGCTTTGTGTAAATAAATCTGCTGCCAATCTCAAGCCCTGGAAGAGCTGTCATGTTTGCTGACACACAGAGTTCCAGGGGGAATTAAAAATAACTTAATTGCACCCAACTTGCCCAGAGTCTCTTATTTGCTCACCATTAAGTGCTTCACAAAGGATCAGCACCTCCCGTATCGCTGCCTCTGTTTATTGACACACAGATTAAAGGAAGTAATTTGTCCCAAACCGCTGAGCTGAGTGGTGGCAAAGAATGTTGGGGACCCAGATCCTCTCAAGTCCACACCTGGGCTCACCTCACAACACCAAGCTACACCCTCAAATGAAAACTGCTCTGTGTGAGCAGGAGAGGAGCAGAGAGGTGGGGGTTTATCCCGGTTGGCTGTCACACAATTTCCCCCTGCAGCAAGTGTGCCAGACACCCCCAGGGAGCTGGCAGAGAGGGGAAAGGGGGGGCAGGCCCAGCTGCAGGAGAGGCACTCACTGGTTTCTGCTGTCTCGTACTCGCTGTCCCGCAGCAGCTCGAAGATGTCCACCTCCACCTTGGCCTTCCCCGCCCGCTCGGGCGCGCGGTTGATGCGGTTCTTGGCCAGGGTGATGGAGAGCCTCTCCCCTCTGCTGCACTCCATGGGGTCATCCAGGATGGCAGCTGTGGGAGCAAAGGGGTTGGCAGTGGTTAGGCACGGCAGGGGCTCTGTGCACGTCCCCATCCCCCTCGTTCCCCCATCCCTTGGTGCTCCTCTCCCCACCGCGCTCGGCGCATCCTCCTTCCCACGCGGCCTCTCCTGCTGTTTCACCCACCTCCCAGGGTTTTGCCAGACAGGTGGGTGGTGAAATCTCTGCAGCAGTGGCTGTGTTACCTGTCGGGATGCCACAGCACAGCCACCCACACCGTCAGGGTGCTGGTGGCATCCGGCACCCGCTGCCACGCCCGGCACCCGCCCCGGGGGCTCTCAGAGAGGCACATCCAGCTGTGCAGCCCTGAGGAACCCAGATCCAGGCTCTGCCTCACATCCCAACAAAGGAGGAACGTCCCCAGATAGCCTTGGATCGTTCCTGTGAAGCGTTGATCCGGTGCTGAGAGCTGGAATATTTCAGGAAGCACGTGGGCAGCCGTGGGTGGGGAGGGACAAATATTTTTCAAACAGAAAGCTCTTGACTCTTGAACTCAGCTCCTGGGGCTGCCCACTCAAATCTGTGTTAGGCACAGGGAGATGGTGAGGGGTATTATTTTTGTTTTCTTGAGGGAAGGCAAAAAGGAATCAGAGTTGAGCATTTTGTTATGAGCCGGCACAAGGTCTGCACCCCCCCCCGGGTTTATCCCTGCTAACAGGGGGTCTCCTCCCAAAACACAGCAATTCCACTGGATCTGGGGAAGAGCAGAGCTGTTGTTTGTTGTGTACATAAAAAAAAAAGCACCCAGGCTTATCTTCCCTTCCCAAAAGATCACTCCAAAGGGAGCGATGCCATCCGGGGCCGAAGCAGGCAGGTGAGCAGGGCAGGGGTTAGTGGGGCTCTGCTGGGCTGTGTGGCAGGAAAACAGGGAACTCAGGGCAGCAGCCCTGGAGAAGCTTTGGAATGTGGCATTGTGCTGCAGCACGTTTGGGTTGGGGGTTTTTTGAGAGGGAAAATCATAAATCAGCTGAAACCTGAAATAAAGCCTGAAATAACTGAAATCAGTCCTGAACTGGAGGTATATCCTGAGTTCTAAGAGCAGACACCAAGGACAGCCACTGTTTGAAGACAGAGCTCACTGGGGTACCTGGCAGAGAAGCACAGAGATGTTGTGCTGGAGGGTGGGACTGAGAACAGCCCTCAGAGGGCTGGTTGGTGGCTGGAAGGTCCTCACTGTTCCCCATCACCCTCCAGTGCCACCAACACTCCTGTCTCAGGTCCAGGCTCTTTTTATTTTGGCTTTCCTGCCCCTGAGACTCACTTTGACCCAACCCCAAAGCTCAAAGCACGGCCCAATTTCAACAACCACCTTGCACAACGTTTCAGGGCTCTTTTTCTAGCCTTGCTCTGCTCATCCCACTGGAGTCTTCTGCCTCCTTACAAAACTGCAGAGCATCCCTGTGTCCCAGTCCTGCCTCAGCCTCAGCAGAGGAATCCACTGGTGAAGCAGAGGGGGTCCACACTATCCTGATTTACTTTATACCCCGAGGATACTCAAGAATTCCTTCTCTTCCCAGATTTTCCTGCTTTTGTGGGAGCTAAATTAAGTAAGCACTGATAAAGAACCCCACAGCAACACTTGTGGTGCACTATACACAGATGTCTGGGAGAATAATGTGTTCCAACAAGCAGCTAAAACTCCATTTCTTCAGGAAAGAAGCAGCAGAGAAGAAAGTTCTCGCAGACAAAACTTTTTCCCTCCAACCCTGCTCCCAGGAAAGGGTAAATCCGTGTGCTGGAATGTGATGAACATCCCAAAAATGCTGCTCGTGTTCAGGTGCTGACACAGCAAAATTAAAGATCAGTGGTGGGGGAGTGTGTGTCAGCATTCTGAGATTCATTAAGTTTCTAATTTAAAAGCTTCAAAATCACTAAATTGGGAAATGTTTTCGAGTATATTCCTAATTGCCAGTTTTCAAACAAAATCCACTCCCACTAATGTGCAGTTAAAGACATTTGAAATATAAAACAGTCGAAACCAAAGCATTTTGAATTATTTCCCCAGGCCACCTCAGCAAAAAAGGTTTGTTTTTCTGTGTGTCTGTTCAGGATGGGATTTTCCATTCTTATGTTTTTGGAAACCTTGAAAAGTTCCCTACAGGTGAGGGGGAAAAAAAAACCAACTCAAAAAAAATAACAACAGTAAGCCCTCTTCTTTACCCAGCTCTGATTGAGTTTGAACTTTGGGACTTGTGATAGAAAATCAGCAAAATGTGTTCCCTTGCATTTTGGGACACTTTGGTTACTTTTACTAAATATTAAACCAGCCCTCAGGACCGAGCAGGTAATGAGGCTGAGCTAATCTTTATTTATTAAAGCTAGAGCATGAAAAAGGTCATTTAATGTTTAAAAAAAGGTTGGTTTTAAAACTTCATGTCTTGGGACACGGTGCCAAAGCTCATCTCGCAGTGGCATCATTAAGTATGAACGGAAATCTTTCTAGAAATTCCCTTTCATCTCCTCCTGTCTATTAAATATGGGAAGATGCATCAAGTAAATCTTTAATCCTGAAGACTTAGAGCAAAGTCTTTGAACTTTGTTGCCCTCAAAAATCACTCCTGTCTTCCCAATCGTGATAAATGTCTCTGGTCTAGACAACTTCTCTGTGAATTATGAGGAAAACATTCCAGAGGGAGCCAGGAGCACCTGGATCTGTGATGCCCAACTCAGGGCTGTTCAGGATTTCCCAGGGACTGAGAGTCAAACAACCCAAGTGAAGCCACCAAGGACTGGCACAGGCTGAGTTTTCCTCTGGAATAATTGGCTGGAAACATCTTTTCCCAAGGGATGTTCTGATCTTGACAGATAAAAATCCTTTAGATAGTAATAATTATCTTTCTAGTCAATATGCCCAGGTTTTCCTTACACTTAACACCAAACCCATAAACCTGAGAGGCACCAAACCAGAAGAGTTTACCCCCCTGGAAATGCAGTGAGAGCAGCTGGGTTGTAGTTCATCAATATTCAAGTGACAAAGTTTAAATTTCTATCAAACCCACATTTCAAATGCAACACTCAGAGTTAATGATTTAACAGCAAGAACCAGGTATTTAACGGCAAGAACCATTATTGATAGGCAAAGAAATGCAAGGGGATGGGAAAATCAGATTTCAATGACTCTCCTACAGACAGTCTTCACCTCAGGGATCTTCCAGCCCTCGGGGGGGGGGATGAGGATGCCCTGTGATGAGATGTGTGTGTGAAAGCACTCAGCCTAAGCCCTGCCCTACCAAAATAGGGTGTGAGGGATTCCTGTGAGTGCTTTGTCCAGACAGGAGCTGGACAAGGAGCTTCCCAGAGACGTGTCTTCCTTAAACTCCACCATTTCCCCTGGACTCAGCGCTGGTGAGGCCACCCTCGAGTGCTGTGTCCAGCTCTGGGTCCCTCAGCTCAGGAAGGATATTGAGGTCCTGGAGCAGGTCCAGAGAAGAGCAACAAGGCTGGGGAAGGGACTGGAGCACAAGTCCTATGAGGAGAGGCTGAGGGAGCTGGGGCTGTTCAGCCTGGAGAAGAGGAGGCTCAGGGGAGACCTCCTCACTCTCTGCAACTCCCTGACAGGAGGGGGGAGCCAGGTGGGGGTTGGTCTCTTTTCCCAGGCAACTCTCAGCAAGACAAGAGGGCTCGGGGTCTTCAGCTGTGCCAGGGGAGGTTTAGGTTGGATATTAGGAAGAATTTCTTTCCAGAGAGGGTGATCAGCCATTGGAATGGGCTGCCCAGGGAAGTGGTGGATTCTGTGTCCCTGGAGGTTTTTAAGGTGAGACTGGATGTGGCATCAGTGCCATGGGCTGGGAACCACAGCGAGGCTGGATCAAGGGTTGGACTTGATGATCTTGGAGGTCCCTTCCAACCCAGCTGATTTATGATTCTGTGATTCTGTGATTCGATGATTCCCAGCCTGGGCAGCAGCATCTGCTGCACATTTTCCCCCCCAGAGCACATCCACGACATTGTGCAAGGCAGATGCTCAAACCCTTCTGCCTCTTCTCCTCACACCCCAGAGAAACTTCTCCAGGAGGAGGAATGACATAAATTCCTCACCCTGAACTGCTCAGCTCTGCTGCCTCCTACCCAAACAGTGTCGGGGGGGACGGGCAGCGCTGCCAGCCCCGGTGCCCTCGGTGCTGGAGGCTGCTGTCCTCCTGGAGCTGGGCTGGCACACAGCAGCCACCCGAGCCCCTGCAGCAGCCAGGCTGCAGGCAGCACCCAAATTCAATCCTTTCCACCCTCAGCTGGCTCTCAAGCAGGGCTAAGAAAGCAGAAAGGCTCCATCCTCCCCGTCCCCCCGAGCCATGTGGCTCCTCAGAGCCACCAGCCAGGCCCAACAGATGCACCCTGACAAGCCTCATCCCACTGCAGGTTTTGCTGCAACATCACTCCTTAATTCATGATTCAAGCAGGATCTAATGAAGTAGCATTTTTATAACAATAACAGGGAACAGGTGCTACCAGGAGATTTAGACACTGCTACAACAAACTGTGCTCTGCTGACCTTTCCCTGTTAACAGTATCATTTTTTATTTACGTTCTCTCAGATGCTTTTCATACCTTCGAGATGTGAAGTCATACTCAGAAACACAGTTTCCATCTCAAGGCATCTCTTGAAGATGCAGATTTGGCAAAGCACTGGCTTAGTAAACATATTTCACTGTTTGTAACCTGTCCCTCCAAGTTAAAAAAGATATAAAGCTGTCTGCAATATTTCTCAGGTGTCTCATCTGACAGGTTAAGATCACACCTACAACCTCTTCTGATTTATGCTGTAAACACACCCACAGAATCATCAAGGTTGGAAAAGACCTCCAGGATCATCAAGTCCCCCCTGTGCCCCATCCCCAGCCCAGAGCACTGAGTGCCACATCCAGTCATTCCCTGAACACCTCCAGGGATGGGCACCCCAAACCTCCCCGGGCAGCCCCTTCCAATGCTTGAAAACCCTTCCCATGAGGAAATTCCTCCTGATGTCCAACCTGACCC